GTTCGGTGGTCATCTTTTTCCCCCCCCCCCCCCCCAATGCCTGGGTTCTCTGTGTCCCTGGGTTTCCTGTGCGCTCTCCCCACAGCCTTGCCCACTGGGCACTGCCCCCCCCTTCCCACCTGCACAGAAGTAGGCTGCCGCAAGCTGTCAGACTGGTTGAGCCGGTTTCAGCCCCCAAAGGGCTGGTCGGGGCTCCCAGGTGCCCCAGGAACTTCCGGTCCCGGCCCCGACAACAAACAATAGCCCAGCTCCACCAGGGAGGGCACAGCTCAGCACTCCAGGCACCCCCCAGACAAAGCCCCCACTCCCATCATACCCCAGAGCCTCTGCCCCTACCCTCTATAAGACAGGGCTGTGTGATGTGAGCAGGGAATTTGAGCCAGGTGTCTTCCTGTCCCATCCCTCCCCCAAGGGACTTTACCCATCTCTGAGTGTAAGCAGGTTGATTTCCGTCCATGCCTCAGTTTCCCTAAGCTGCAGAGCAGAGACAGGAGGATTAGGACAGCCCCTGCACCCCTCTCCAGCTCCCAGATATTAGCTCAGTGAATCTCCTAGGGGCTTACGGCACTGTGGGGGAGGGGGTCCTAAAGGGAGGCTGGGCAGACCAGTATCAAACTGGACTGGGGTGTGGTGGGGGGCGTGTCAGTGGATGCTTGCTCTTAGCCATCTCTGCAGGGTTTACAAGCTCTGAACCTGAACGTAGGGTCCACTGGACCCCCGTGCGAATTCCTCCCACCCAGACAGATTCCAATGCCCAGCAGTGACCAAGCTGTGAAAAGAACCCAGGTGTCTGTAGCTTAGGCCTCCTTGCTTCAAGGCCCGACTTCAGTCACCCCCACACGCATGTAACTGTTCATGTCACACAGCTCTGGGGTGAGTTGATGTGTGTACACCTCCTGGCAGGAGTGGAACATGGAAATGCCTTAGCCAATGAGAGTGGGCCTAGGCCTGGTGGGAACCCCAAGCCCTGCCCGCATGGCTAGGGGGAGCCGCTCCATGCACAGCACTTCTGTTCTCGCCTAAAACATGCCCTGGAATACGAGGTGTTCCCTGTTGTTCTTGGGGAGGTGGAATGAAGAGCAGAAGAGATTTCCAGAGTCTGAGCCAGGCGTCCAGGGAGCACACACACAGACGCACACACTTGGAGGACCTAGGTATCGGGGGGGCACGTGCAGTCACTTGGAGAACTCAGGCATCTGAGACGCATGGACACACTGATTCAAAGAACCCAGGCATCTGGGGCATGTACACGTTGAGAACCCAGGCCTCCAGATACACACCCCCCACACTTGAAGAACCCAGGCCTCCAGGATACACCCCCCCCACACTCGGAGAACCCAGGCGTCCAGGATACACACCCCCCACACTTGAAGAACCCAGGCCTCCAGGATACACCCCCCCCACACTCGGAGAACCCAGGCGTCCAGGATACACACCCCCCACACTCGGAGAACCCAGGCGTCCAGGATACACACCCCCCACACTTGAAGAACCCAGGCGTCCAGGAGATGCACACAAATGCACATCTCCACTTGGAGATCCCAAGCATCTGACACACGCACATAACCCAGGCATCCCAGATGTGTGCATATGCCCCACACTCAGAACCTAGGGATGGACACGCGTGCACACACTTCCATTTGGAGACCCTAGATGTCCAGGGTGCGCAGACACCCACTTGCTGTCTGGGATGTGCATACATGCAGAGGCACACAACCCAGGCATCTGGGATTGTAAAATAGAGAAAGAGAAACCAGGAGCAGCTGCCAGACAGCCACATTACCCATGACAAGTTGGCTTGACTAGTAGAACATCAAGACTATTGAAAAAGAGAGAGGGTCGTTAACACCTGCCTGGTGGGGTCTGAGCTGTGCGGACAGGCACTGGGGGGCTGTTCCCATGGGGAGAGCAGCATCCTGGCTCCATTTCTTGGGAACCCCTGAAGGCCGTCTGTGCCCCCCAGGAACTCTGGGATTATGGGGGACTAGCCTCTTGGGCCAGAGCCCCCAAGCTGTGTGTGTAGGCACACACCCCGCAAAATGAAGCCTCTAGACCAGGCAGAGATGTGGCTCCAGCCCTCCCTAGTCACTGTGGGGTGGAATGTACCCCTCTTGGGGCAACTCCGGGGGGAGAGGGGGCAGCATAGGGCAGTGGCAGAGCTGGGCACTCCCACCCAAGGCTTCCCAGTCCTTGCCTGGTATCTTTACCCCCTTGGCGTCCTCCATCTGGGGACTCAAAAGCCTTCCCTGTTCCCCCCCCCCCCCGAGGTTTGTTTGCTCAGGCCTGTGCGATTAGCAGGTTAATCGGGCCCTGTGTTCAAGCCAGCCCCACATTCAGCCCATTGGTGGTTCCATGAAATAGTGAACCAGCCACGAAAGCGTTCCGCGTGTAACCAGCCATGATGATGTCCTGTGGCAGAGCCAGATTCAGCACCTTCAGTTGCACGTGCCGTGTTCCCAATCAAGGGCCCCCCACCAGCACCGACAGCCAGCTGATTGGCTCCAAAGGCCTCCTCC